AAAAAAAACGTAAGAAATTGAAAGACTTCAAAATATTTGTAACACCATGTAGATCTGCCTTTAAATTGTTTTACGATGTACAACATTAGAAAGTTATTGTTTTGTAGTCTCTATGTTTTTACATTATTGAGACATTTTTTAAATATCGAGACTTTTTAATATATTAAAATAAACAAATAAAATGTGATATTTAATTTATGTTGCTTATTACTTTCTTTTTTCTTGTTTTCTCCATTTTTTTCTTTTTTTTTGTTGAAAGTATCTAAAAAGTATCTAAATTTTCAAATACTTTTTATTTATATCTGTATCTATACCTAGGTAATTGTAAAAAAAAATATCTATACTTATATTTAAATACTTTTTCCACACAATACCTATATCTATATCTATAAAATACCTTTCTAACGATATTTGTTCCAACATTGCTATTTTGTATTATTTAAAACGTCTGTACATAACACAAAAACTGTTCATGAAAACTACTATGAAAGTTGTTCCGACAAAGCAAAAGTCTATTCTTATCACATTTATGTTTATAAGTACTTTCATTTTACAAGCGTAATTGAGTTTATTGATAATCTAAAGTAGTCGTAAATGGAATTACTTTAACCAATATTGTCGACTATTCTTAGCGTATTTTTGCTGATAAACCGTAACTAGTTAGAATTAAATTCGCAGCCGTAATGGACGGCGTTTCTCATGTCTCCGCAGAAGGGAATCTTCTCAGAAAGTCTGAAAACGCATTAGCTAATTGTGAGTCTTAAAGAGTTTTACAGGATACGTTCGATGCACTTTTATGAGACTGAAGGCGTTAATATGAGAGATCGTATTAAAAAGTCGATTGCTTAAAGTATCAAATCGCTTCATTCAATTAATTATTAACCTGCAGTGCATAAAATTCTCGGGCAGTCATGTTTTTAAAGATAGAATATACAAATATAATACATGCAAGAATTGTGAAATAACTGATATGTCATACATCGGAAAATTTTATAAGTAGCTATATTTTTTATTTATACGTTTTTTTTTGTAAACGAAATAAAAATACGATGATAATTTTAACTACTATCTCTTTTCCTATAAATTTAACATATCGCAAAATATAATAATAATTTAATGTACTTGCAAAATACAATAATGACGCAAAATGGCATGTAGAGCCTGCGGCACAGGATGCTTGTTTTCCTGCTGGATTGCTTGCGTTTTGGTAAATTATTCAAAATTCTCTGTTCTGTGTGGCAATTCTAAATTACTAAAACGCAAGCAAAAACAAGCATCGTGTGCCACAAATTTAATAAAATATTGTCCACTTCTTATAATAAATCACAGCCATTAAAACGCAACGATTCATTTGCAATAAATTGTCAATCTTATACACTGTGTAGGAATAACCAGCAACTGTTTATTAGGACACATAAAATTCTCGAAAACATGAATTGTTCTTAAAGATAAAATATAAAAATAGCAGAAAACCGGTGCAAAAAATGCAAAAAATGCAAAAAATAATTCTTAATATAATCGTATTATTATCAGGAAATTTTGTAAGTGTAATTACTTCTTTTGATATATGATATTTCTTGCAAGTAGAAAATAACTTTGATTCCTTTCCCACTTTCTATAAATTTGACATACAGAAAATTAAAAGTATTGATGCAACAAATAATGAAAAAATTTGTCGCGTGCGTACGAATAAAACAATTGATTAAAAAATAAACTAATCATAAACAGATAAGTATTGCAACAGATCTATATGGAAACAACCAATAATGCTGTTTTATTAAAATGTATAGACCATTAAAATGACTAATTATTACTAGTGCACCGATACTTATAATTGATATATATGAATCATTGTATTTTGTCACTCCTATTATATTGATGTATGTATCAATCATTATATTTTGTCATTGTATTTTATCAATCCGATAATAATTTACTAATATTAAAAAATATGGAAATCTATTTATAAATCGTCCGTTTTTAACGTGACTAGTGGAAAGAGGATAGTAATATAATAATTAAATGTTAATATGGCTCAATTCGAATAAATCAATAAATAAAATAAGGGCAACGAGCCAATTATAATATAAGATCTTTAATGAACGTATATATACAAACGTTTCGACACCGATCGGGTCATTTTCAATGTAAAATAACAAACACTCTTACATACATTATCAGAAAATTCGGTTAAATTATATTGTCCAGTGAGAAATTAGTTGTATTCATAAAAAGCGGTCCATATGTAAAAATATCAAAAGAGATCAAATCTCACTTTTCGCAATTCTACAATCTGAATAATAAATAATACATTAACATTGCGTTATAGATTAAATTATCGATGTACATATTTAGTAAATTAGATTAGAGAGAATGTAAATTAAATAAAACATATAATATATACCTCATATTATCTCAATGATGTAAAGTAGACTACGGTAGGAACACACAATTAATAAAGTTATATTTAATGAAAAAGTTATATTTAATAAAAATAAAAAATAAGCCATAATACGAATGTATGTAACATTTGAACTCAACGATGTCAAGCGACGTTATGACAAAAAGAAAAACAAGGAAATAGGAAAGATAATAAGCAAGGAGACAAGGACAATGTTAAGAGAGGGAAAGAAATGTTAAGAGGGGGAAAGAGATTGGATAATGTTTAGGTATGATTCTGGCAGGGATTCTGTGTCATTTTGTTTGTTTACAAATGCCCATGCATTTGTCGTTTTATATGAACCATCTCCGATATCAAACTAATTTCTCACTGGACAATATAATTTAACCGAATTTTCTGATAATGTATGTAAGAGTGTTTGTTATTTTACATTGAAAATGACCCGATCGGTGTCGAAACGTTTGTATTGTTACTCCCGTGCCTCGTCGCATGCTGCGCTTTGCCGACCCGTGGTGTCGCGTCGTCAAGACGACGCGTTGTTGTTTACGGAGAGACAACCGGCAGATCTTTGGAGGACGGTCAACGCGTTCGGACGTGTTTCTCCAGCGGATACCAATACATTTATTCCGCGCTATTCTCGGACTGTATCGTCGACACCAATAAAGATCTTCTTTGTTACCTTCACAAATCTTTGAATCTGTTTCTTTCCGCGGATCGGGAGTGCGCGTCGCGGTCGTGAGTGCGAACTTGCGCAGCGGGCGCAACAGTATATATACGTTTATTAAAGATCTTATATTATAATTGGCTCGTTGCCCTTATTTTAGTAATATAATAAATTTTTAAATACAAATTATTAAATAAATTACAAATGAAATAAGAAAAAAGAGACAGGAAAAAGATCAGCTGCCTAATAAAGATATTCTATATCTATGTTAAATATTAAGTTATTTTATAATATTTTTATAAGAATTATTGAATTTCTATCTAATACTTGCAAATCCTTGAACAATCAAGACTATTATGCTGTACCTTGAGACAATTATATTTTTATCGATTAAAACATGTAGTTAGAATATGTATTTGATATTGATTTGAAAGATTGATATCAATTTGGAAATTGAATTACACATGAGTGTTGAAATTATTATCTATACGATCATACAACATAATGTAACACACCATAATACGCAAATATACAGCGTGAGTCAGTTAAAATGTAACAGATTTATATTTCGGAAACAAAGTATTAGAGAAAAATGTTTCATACAAAAGTTGTATGATTTGGAGGAAGACATAAAATGGTGCCATTGGTACGTGTGTGAAGTTGGCCCCGCACTTTTCGAATTTTAGATTTTTTTTTATTGTGCTGTGTTGTGCTACGTTTGTGCCACATTGTGCCGCAAACCGCAACTCAATAACATGAACCGTTTTCCAAAAAAAAATTCCATGCTTAGGAATTTTTAGAAACGCGAAACTGAAAACCCCTGTATCTCGCGAACGGTACAAGATAATGGAATTCTGCGAGTTGTGCCGAGTTGCGCTACTCAAAATCTATGCGAAACGTTCATAAAAGGTCCGGAATGGCAGAAGGGACGACGGAAAAGGTTAAAAACGTGGTGGGGGGAAACAAAAAATTTGATATTTTTGAATTTTTTCAGTTGTGCAGCGTCCGGGTGACTGTAGCGCACAAATGTTGCCCCAGGCCGCCGCCTGTCGTTAGCCACGATGTCGTAAACCGTCCCTCCTGAGTTGGCTCCTTGCGCTACATAAATTTTATGTTTCCCCCCACCACGTTTTTAACCATTTCCGTCGTCCCTTCTGCCATTCCGGACCTTTTATGAATGTTTCGCATAGATTTTGAGTAGCACAACTCGGCACAACTCGCAGAATTCGATTATCTTGCA